TATTTCTTGTCCATAGAGGTCAGATTCACGTTGACTGGATAACCGAGTTGGTGCTGACTGATGTCCCGTGCCAGCAATATTCCAGCTATATGACGACGGTCTGTAAATAATCGAGTCTGACTTGCTATTAGACAAAAATCCGTGAACATATTTTGTTGAAGTAACCGAAAGTACTGGCTCGTTGATGTGGCCCAGTCATCTAAAGCGCCGCAATTCGTTGTGCAGAGCCGTGTCCCTTAGGCACGCAAGAAACCTATGATCTAAGGTTCGAATCCGCATGTATGCAATTATTATTACTGTTAATCCTCCACCTACTAAATATATTTTCTATCATGTTCATTATCCAGCCTTGCTTGACAACGGTATAAGAATCTTTACCGACACGTCGCCTTTACAGTAAATAAAGAAGTTGTCCTACATACAATTGTCTACTTTGAGTTTTCAGTACTACAGCATCGTCATGTTCACAACACTAACCAGCATGCTGACATCAACTCAACCAAGTCCCGTTGTGAAAATGAACACTTGTTAACAGTTCATGTGACTATCAACTCATTCATCACGAACATGAAGTCGACATTAACGTATGCAATGATGTCTCTACACATTTTGTACCTGATATTCGTTTTGATTTTGTTAATCAGAATGATCTTTTGTTTATTTTATCGTTACACCTACACACATCCTAAAGTGTGACATTGTTTCCTCGGCTGATGATATCTACTGAATAACCCAACCCTTATTTTATGTCATCTTGGCTCTCCTTTAGGGCTTTACTGTGTTTTTGTAATTTATCCAACTCTTATTCACCATCACCTCGAATAAATGTACATAAATACTACACAGACATAGCAATAAAATTTCACTGTATTACAATTTAAATGTAGTCGTTTTTTGTGCCATTATAACAGGCACCGGATCAATTTGAACTCAAATTGAAATATTCGCACCCTCCATCATTTTTCTTTGGTGTCTGTATGAGCTTGGTGATATAATCCGCAATGTATTGGACTAAACAACGTCCTGGTGGCGATGCTACCTCGACTGGGCAGTAGCTTCCCTGTCTCTGGGGTGAGTGATTGAGTTCGAAGAGTATTTCAGTTTTACCGCGAGGTAACATAACGTGGGCTGAAACTCTGATTGACGCAGATTATGGACATTTCCTGTTGCGTTGCAACCCACGAGTACGGGCATGGTGCTGATAGATAAACCTCAGTATTGTTGTGTGAACGAATCTTGGATTTGAATTAATGACCAGCAGACTCTGGCACTACAAAAATATATCATTATATATGTGTCACCCGTGATTCTTCTCAATGTATACATTTAATGTAAAGCCATCCATCATTTACACACATGAGACAAGAAATATAAATTTGATATCCTGTGCGTGAACATACCAAACCCTACCAGGAAATACAGTTAAAACAACCCAAAATATATATGAATAAATTATGTGAATCATTGACTTGCCTTTGCATGTGTTTTGACAGATGCCCCTGGCGGGACAGGATACATACTCATTTTTGCGAACACACGGTATTACCACTATGTTGTGATATACATCCTGAATCTCTGACAAGTAGAAAACGGACAAATTAATTACCTCCCATGGAGAGTGCCTGCAGTTGAAATCGCTGCTTTCTTTGTGTAATTATTCCACGTTATGTTTGTCTTCGGTACCAAAACGATCCCTCCCAGTGAGAATATATGGGTGTATCGGTCATCATCTGGAGAGCAAGGATCGGCTGTTTCATTCACCCCCGAGGGCAGATCGAAAATCTTCAACCCTACACTCAACATGGACGAAAGGCACAGTCATTGCTTACCGACTTCTTCTTTGTACAGTAATACTGCTCAGGGTATCCCGCTCTATTGTCTATTGCTTACAACATGCAGTATATGCAAGACAGAGTTACCAATCTACCCCTCTTTGATGTGGAGATGAGTTATTGTGTCACTGATTACAAGTTTACATATCGAAAACCGGACAGCTACAATGACGATGTATCATTACATGCCATATATTCCTAGCTGGTGATGCAGAACTTAACCAAGGCCCATTGAGTACAGACTTGCCGGCATGCAGAGTTCCATTATCCAGCAAATCAAGGAAAAATGAGAATCCGAATGGACATCGCTCCGAAGCATTTTACGTATGCTTCAAGTACCTGTGAATCCAGCAAGGTGAGAGGTGAGGTTGGCTTAGGGAGAGGACAGGGACAGATGTGGTCGGAGCTCAAGAGGTATCATAATCAGAGCTGTGATAAAAATGTTGTTGATTTTATATTTTGAAATATGTCAGGACTTAATGTAAAACTGCAGTACTGACCTTGAATGCATTCCGTTTATGGCATCGGTCGATATTGTTGGTGTTAGCGAGACATCGGAAGAAGAGAAAAGAAATTGCTATTGTTTTAACGTTAAAATGCGTCTCAAAAACATTAGAAATTGGTAACAAAATTGTAACAAATTAATCTGTTCATAGCTGCAATGAAGTGGTTGCATTAGGTATGAAAAGGTCGTGACAGAACTATTAGCTAGGAAAGAATTTAATAGAGAAATGACATTTCACATTTATTATCAGAATGTTTCCTGACATTTCTTATTTATCATTGGATTGGTTCCACATTATCGTCGAGTACTTAATGGATCATGAATGAGGTAAGATACTTATCATTTGTAGAGTCAGCAAGTGAGTTACAAAATCAATAGAGAGATGCTCAATCTGGCACGTAGGCTTCGACATTTTTCCGATTATGACACACTTGAGTTCATGGTCAGATCTGAACTTTTAACGAATCAAACTGAGGCATTGTTACATGTGACTAAGAAAGGTTAGACTCGACCCCTTTAAAAAGATACTTTCAGCACTATTAGTGGTGCGCGGTTTTGGCAGTGACTGAGACAGATCGATCCCACTGCTTGTCCAGTCTATGAAAAGTCTAGCCTGTCTTATGTAGAAGTTGTTTTTGAAGATGGACTGGAGCGTTATTAAAAAGTTATGAGTGTAGCAGGGACCTCGGATCAGAAGGTCCGTTGTTCGAATCCCATCACGGGACTCGGAAATGTTATGGCCGCTACATTGGCGCCCAACGTGGGGCTGAGCACGTTCATATTAAATTTGAGCAAAATAAGCCTCAGTACCATACTATGTGGCCCGGGTCGTGCCTTCTGTTGACGGGGGAGTATGTAGCGTATAACCCGCGTGTTGTGTTTATTCCTGGTGAGTGCAAGGGCCAGCACAGGAATGCAGATAGAGACAGATCGGAGTAAGAGTCGATAGACCAATCACTCCTTGACTAAGATGACCCGATTCTGACCAAGCGAGCTGCTAAGTCATGGTTTACCTTACCTGTGATGACACGGAACAACAATAAATTAGGAAACTGAAGTAGGGCTCGGTTAACCTCAAAACGCAGTAACAACACTATTCATGATTTAAAAAACAATATAAGTTCAGGAAACAATGAATTGACACCAAAATGCTTTAAATCTTCTCATGACATCCTTCTTCCCTATTTGGAGACTTTTTCAATTCAATTCTGGAATCATTGTATTTTCCAAAAGAATGGACACGTGGTGTAATTATTCCTGTACGTCTGTTTGTTTCTGGTTTAACACATCTTCCCGAGGCAAGAGAGTTAACTGACAATGAAAGTCCAGTTTCCACCCTTAACTCTCTTGCCTCGGTGAGATGGGTTTAACACAGTGATATGCACAAAAAAGACAAACAAATGATGTTGATTACAGATGTATAACATTTGATTCGGTGTGTAGAAGTAAATTACGCTTTATATTTCCTTCTCAAAGTAACAAAATAGGAAAATTATTATGTAATATCTATCAAGTTGTAAAATAATGGTTTACGTGTATATTCAGATTTTTTTGTTGTGAGTCTGAAGTGTTGCGACAAGGCTGTTTGGTAAGCCCTTTTCTCTTCTCATTTTTTATTAATGAACTTGATGAGCAGATAAAAAGTAATTATGAAAGAGAGTATTCAAATACACTCTGAAACACTCAGTTTCATGTAAAGATCTTCTTCTATAAATGTGGTTACTGTCATGTATGGTATAATCCATGTGTCACAAACAATCAAGAACTTTGTTTTAATGTCACCAAGACAAACTATTGTGGATATGTACATCCAACAGTGGACTTCTTATTGTTGTTCCACGAAGTAAATATTGCTTCAATAAGTTATACACATCATTATTATCTACTGAAAGCTATTCAATGCATTTGAACCTGAGGAAGTTTAGGGCATCACTGTCACAATTCAGATGTAGTTCACACTGGTTGATGCTTGCACTGGGGAGGTACAATGGTATACCCATAGATAAGAGATTGCAATGTAATTCAGATTCAGTGGTGGATGTATATCACTAGTTATTGGCATGTACTAAAATATAACGTGAGAAAAACATACATAAATTTGTTTTGTTGATGAAATCAGTCAAGACAAATGTCGTTCGTAACTTATCAGGGTTATGTATCATGGCATGTCAATTAGGAAGTCATTTGTTTGAACACCCTCTGCGTTTGTATCTTGTAATACATGTACTGTGGCCCATGGCCTTTCAGTATTGAGAATAACAGATTAATAGACAATGAAGGGACCTGGGCCCACTTGCACAAAGCAGTCTTAGCGCTAGAATCATCGTAACTCAATACTTTAACATAGTCTTACAATAGTCGTAGTGCTAAGATCGCTTTGTGCAAGTGGGCTCTGGACAAAATTTCCACTTAACAGGTTTGCTTGTTATCTCCTTGCACACTGGCGATATGAACTCAATGTCGTCTCATTGTGGATTAGAATTGAGCAGGGTAGTTAGTGTCGGGTGGGGATAAGCGCTTGCACTTGTCTGTTAATTACTCATGCGGGATCCTCCCCAAAACCCCACCAGCTTATAACAAAGTTCACAGTTGTGTGCACAGCTAAACCCCTAGCTGCTACCTCCGAATTCGTAATTATATGGATGAACCCGCACAAAGAACAAAACTATATGATTATAATTTATTGGGTACAAGAATGACAAATAAAGAACACATTAAAATAATAAAGCATGGTTTTTGGTTATTGTTATATATTTAGCATAAATATCTTTGATCACGTCCAACAGATAATGAGATTGTTAACCTTGGATTATTCCTTCTCAGCTTATCCTTACTCTCATGGGTTGAATCCGTACTCAACTTTCCTATGACTTTAAAAGAAGTTTCGACAGAAGATGACTTGATACAGTTTTGGGATCAGAACATTAGCAAAAACTATTACAAAATATCATATTTGTGTAATGACAAAACAACTTGATTATAAATATAATTTCAAAATTGGTCATGATGATCAAATTGACTAATGAGTGTGTGAGCATGTACGAATGGGAACAAATTACACTGTCAAAATTAGAAAACAATATTTAATCACGATTTACACATCCACGAATCAGTTGGAGTCACGGGACAACACCCACAGCCTGTGAGTAGTAAGCAGTGTATCCACACGCATCAATGGCTGTTATAGAGACATATACGGCAGTGACAGTTTGTGGGTGCGAGGACAGGTTGAGCTTCATCTGCTCCTGGCGTGTCAGCAGCCCGTCCACCACATCTGCCCCACCCTCCACCCTGCCCACCATCACTTCATACACAAGCCGGCCCCAGGGGGAGGTAAACAGGCCAGACCAGGACAGAGTGGTCATCCTGTCTGACGTCCTAGACGAGATCATCGCTGCTTCTGAAGTAAACCAGACATCACTCTCAGGAAACAGATACAACATAACATTGAATTTTGTTGCATTTGAATTTGTATTTAAGAATTTGCTGTTTTTAGGATAATTGTTGTGATATCTCTTAGGAATATCTTACTGTTTAGACTTGGTGGTGGTCCATTCATGGTGATAAAAGCTTCTGTCGGGTACCCTGCCTTGTCCAGCACATGCATGGCGCTGATGTTGTAGGTTGTCAGATCACTGAGCTTCAGTCCACACAGCTGGGCAGATGTGTACGTGAATATACTCGGGACGATATGTTCGTAGATCAAACTGCTACCCTCGATGTGAACCTATATGTTTAATTAAAAAAACACAAAACAAATATGTAAGAATGTTTTAAAATCTGTGTGTGGGTTTGATTTCACAGCACTATAACCAAGCACCAGCTTCATACATGGTAGTTGTGACTAGAGCAAGTATCTACGTTGAAGACGTCAGCTGGAGTCGACATACCAGCGCAGTGTAAGGAGTCTGGGTTTCTCCTCCCTCCCAGTGAAGTCTCACAGTGTCTCGGGCTACGTGACACTGGCCTCTGTCTGAGAACACAGAGGGGCTCTCCTGTAGGACCTTGAAGCCAGCTACAGTCGCAACGTCTCCCCTGGACACGATGACGACACCATCAGATGAGGACTCGGAGGTCTGCCCCGCGTTGTTATGGCAACGTACTGTCGTGTACACCTTCAAACTAGATGACGTCACTAGATCAGTCAGATTCCACCTGGTAAATCTAACTCCGGGATTAGTTCGAGCAAACCGACGGACGTCGTCATCTCCAGGCGTGTGCCCTGCAGAAGATATAACAGCTATTCAGTCAGACGATATTGAAAATGAAGTTTCGTTGGGATACACAAAGATATGTTGAAACAACATCAGCTTATGCAGTTTCTACACGAATTTACCTTTTCGTTGATTAATGTATTTTTCTAATCGAGTATGACAACAAGCATATTGTATCAATATGTCTGTTCCTTACCTATAGCAATGTCACAGTTGATAGAATCCGATTCCTGATCTTCCACAGCCCAGTTCGCTGCCATGTCCTCTGGTGAAAGGAAGTCTGCATCAACTCCTAGAAGTAGAGCATTACAACTGTGTGATCATATAGCAATGGAGCATTATACATGTGTGATCATATAGCAATGGAGCATTATAGCTGGATGATCATTTAGCAATGGAGCATTATACATGTGTGATCATATAGCAATGGAGCATTACAGCTGTGTGATCATATAGCTATGGAGCAAGGGAGCAATGGATTCTATCACAAAATAGGGCGGTCGGGTAGCCTTGTGGTTAAAGCGTTCGCTCGCCATGCCGAAGACCCAGGTTTGATTCCCAGCATGGATTCAATGTGTGAAGCCAATTTCTGGTGTCACTCGCCGTGATATTGCTGGAATATTGCTAAAAGCAGCGTAAAACCATACTCACCCACTCATTCACTATGGTCATTGCAAAGGAATAGGCATGCTGGAATGTACACGTATGCAGGAGTATTTGGAATGGCAAACAATATTAATGCCAGGCACGTTTCAATTCCATGTTTTACCTGAACCATCGTTGACTTGTTGTATAGTTGGTGGCGTCATGTCCACCGTCACTGGTTCAGCTCTGGTCAGTGACGTCAGGCCGGCAGCGTTAGTGGCGAGTACTGACACATACAGTCTGGAGTTGTGAGTGAGCTTCTGGACAGAAACTGTTCCTTGAGGGTTTCTACCAACATTAGTGAAGCCCTGCACCTGTGTCCCGCCTTCCACCAGACCTGCATGGAGAGTCGATGTTATTACTTACAGGCTTGGATGCTGCTCAGGTCACACTAGACTATCAACAGTTTTGTTTCTGTATTTCTCCATGTCTAAATAAACATATAGTTTTATTACTACGCTCAATATACCCACATGTGAGTCGATCCTGTGCTAGCTCGTTCAACAACCATATTAGCCCTGATATGATCATGGTTGTGTCGCGTGCGTGTTGATTTCCACAAAGGGGTACACGTCTAAGGCCTGCATCCCTTGTTATGGGGGCTTTTCGCCCACAGTATGCGGATAAGCCGTGGTATAAATAATCTCATACATTCTTAATCTAGATCCTCCCAAGTCAAGCCCTTACCGACTGCCCACTAGAACATGGTTATGGGGTACTTTCCTACCGCCCCCTCTTACATGATTTGGTACTCACCTACTGCCCACTGGTACATGGTGATGGGGACTTACCTACTGTCCACTGGTACATGATGGCCGACTCACCTACTGCCCACATGGTGATGGCGGACTTTTCTACTGCCCATTCTTACATGATTGAAGACTCACCTACTGCCCACTGCTACATGGTGACGGGGGACTTTCCTACCGTCCACTCTTACATGACTGGGTACTCACCTACTGCCCACTGGTACATGGTGATAGGGGACTCGGTGTCCTTGAAGTGCCAGGACACGTGCACAGACGACCAGTGAGGCAGGAACACCGCGTTCACCTCCACGTGCTTCTCTGTGTCACCAGCCTCGTCATGTCCACCATACTTGACGCTCTGCAGTGTCACGTGATCAACTGCCATCGCCATGGACCTGGACTTCGTGCCAATAGTAAGTCGTGTGGATTCCTCCCGAGCAAAGAAGGAAAACGTGTGTGTATTCCACATGATAACATAATGTCTCCCAACATCACACACCCCTCGGCATAGATTTGGCTCCAGTCTGAATGTGATCACTTCAATACCAACTGAGACGAAGCCTTCTATAACGCTGAGATGTACGTCCGTGTTCTTTGTATATCCCACATGAATCTTCACTTTGTACATTTGCCCCACAGTGAGATGTATATCTCTCTGGAGAACAGATCCGCTGATTACAATATAGCTGTTACCATGTCTAGCTGATGGACGCTCAGATGTAATAATGTGTATGCATGTAGAGTTGTTAGTCTGCCAGTGCTCGGGAAGAGGTTCATTGCACGTCGATGAATTCACAGGTTTATTTTGTATCTCAAACGAAGGATTCTTCACCAAGTTGCCTCCTAGGTATGCCACGGACTGTGGTTCTGGGGGAGATGTGTCGACGACAACGCCGTCCGATACAGCTACGTCTGAGGCGTGACGCACTGCATCTACAGCATACACCTTGCTCCATATGCGTGTACCTAGAAACAAGGGAATACCGTCATCAGGCGTTTCTGGAAGGCTTCCTTAATGAATAGTTAGGCGCCTCTTAGGACATTACCAAGCGGCATAGCCTTTACAGGATTTTCAATAATTAGTTTCACAAAGAAGACACAATTTATGAACAACAACTTCTTTAATACTGTAAAGACGATGTTTCGTTACAGATCCTGATACCGTTATCAAGCAAGAAAATGATATAATGATCTATACCGAAACGTCGCCTTTGCCGTATTGAAGAAGTTGTTATTCATAAATTGTGTCTACGTTGTCATCCGTCAAATAATACCAATCAAACAATTCAGTTTAGTTTCACTGTGGGACAGTTTATGTTTCGCCACTTGCTTTTGAAAATTTGCTGTTTACAGAACATTTACTTTGGTGACAAGTTGTCCTCCGCAGGATGTATGGGACGAAAGATGAGTGAAACCATCAGGAGGCGGTGCGTGACGCTAAGCTGGGCTATCTTTATTAAGTGTCAATACATGCTGGTACTTGGCTTAGGCCAGACGGATCTGATCAGGATACATACCACTAGGTAGGGGGGAAGCAAGTTGTGCCGAGAAGGTGGTATGAAGCCCAGTCTCCCGCCAGCCCAGCACACTGCAGTCTGTTGTGTCGTTGACTCTTCCCACACACCAGAAGTACGTGATGATCGTGGAGTCCGTGTCAGAGAAGCCGTGCCAGGAGGCGGAGACCTCTGATGGAGAACTCTGGTAGTCCGTGTCGTGCATGCCTGCAGGGATGTATTAGAGACAGTTAGAGGAGGTAACTACACAAGTCAAGTAACCACATCTCACCAGTTATTTTAAGCTCTGTGGAGATCCCGGGTCAATTGAAAATTGTTTGTTTGTTCGATGTGGAACGCCACAATATTCCTGCTGTATGACGATTGTCTGTTAATAATTAAATCAGGACCAAACGATCTGGGGATTGATTTTATGAGCAACAATGCTCGCCAACGACACATTATCAACCAAGTCACCGAACCTGACAACTCCTGACAAGCATTGGCTTTTTGGGACGTGTGACAATGGTCGGGCACTGAAGTCGCTGTGTAATCGTATGGACGGCAACCCTTCTCTCAACATTCTATTCCCTGGTCCACACTCTGTTATAAACAGGACGCTCTGGTACAGCTGGGATATTGCGACCTACAGCAACAGACAACACTCTTAGCACTGCTACTGGAGAAGGGAACGTACCTTGTCCGTCATCCACTCTGCCCGCTACAGGAGGCAGCACGTCCACCCGGACACCGTCAGAGTGAGCCCAGCTGACCAGGCCAGCTCTGTTGAAGGCCAGGACACTGGAGTAGTACACTGTGGCTGCTTCTAGACTCAGGCCCCTGGCTGTGTACTTCGTGGTGGAAAGGTCATCTGACGCGTGGATACTGTGTCCTGAAATAGTGAAGTTACTGAGTCATTGAGTTTTGTTATAGTCAGCTATATTGCGGCGGGGGAACCTGAAATGGGTTTCACATATTGTCCCAAAGTGGAGGTCGAACCTATGCGAACCTAACCATCCTTTATAATTTGTCAGCTATTGCATCCTTTCATTTCCCATGTACAGCGAATAATAACAACATCAATAATAATAACAATAATTATAATAATATTAATAACACATAAGTCAGTGAAAGTAAAGTCAACGCCGGTCAATCAATTCCAAGGTATTTAGAAGGACGAGCTGTGTTGGTCGTTGTGAGTAATGAATCAATGTTCGGGGTAGGATATTAGCTACCTGGACATCAGCTTCCAGGTTAGATTCAAGCACATTTCTATACTGATCTGTAATGTGTTGGTCCTAGGACATCAGCTTCCAGGATAGACACATGCACACGTCTATACTGATCTGTAACGTGTTGGTCCAAGGACATCAGCTTCCAGGTTAGATACATGCACACTTCTATATTGATCTGTGACGTGTTGGTCCTAGGACATCAGCTTCCAGGGTAGATACATGCACACTTCTATATTGATCTGTGATGTGTTGGTCCTAGGACATCAGCTTCCAGGTTAGATATATGCACACTTCTATATTGATCTGTGATGTGTTGGTCCTAGGACATCAGCTTCCAGGTTAGATATATGCACACTTCTATACTGATCTGTGATGTGTTGGTCCTAGGACATCAGCTTCCAGGTTAGATACATGCAAACTTCTATATTGATCTGTGATGTGTTGGTCCTAGGACATCAGCTTCCAGGCTAGATACATGCACACTTAAATATTGATCTGTAATGTGTTGGTCCTAGGACATCAGCTTCCAGGTTAGATACACTCACACCTCTATACTGATCTGTAATGTGTTGGGGGAGTTGGGAAATTGAGAACGCTCACCCCCGGGGCTTGTACTGATGTAGACCTGGTACTTGAGAATCCCAGCGGCGCCCGGCAGGAACTTGTTGGTCCAGCTGACCCTGACTGTGTCCGTCGCCATCTGAAAGTCTGCATCCTTGACTCTATCGTCATCACTGAGCTCAATCACCTGCATCATTAACATATAGTGTTGGAGACTGAGCAGGTGAATGCCGTTTAAAACCACAATCATAAATATTTAGCTATACCGTGATGGGCGGTTAACGGTCAAATCTGGACCAACCAAACCATTGACTGAAAGCATTAACACCGGAAGTCCTCAAAAAGATCACCAGATATTGTCCTAGAAGTCAAGCCTATTTTACCATCTTCCAGGGGCAGCAAACTTATTAAGATTTAAGTGGAACGCACATATGAATCATATAATATCTTCAGATCATTCATGATTATGAGTCACATGTGTCACTAGTGGGCGAACGAACTTATCATTACGTGTTAACAAATGAGGAGCCGTATTTTCTATCAAATATGTTTGAGTGACAATATCAAATCTGCCTTATTTAAGGAAGAGCAATGAGATTCTTACAACATGCTTGCAACATTATAAACATGGAATTCCTTTGTTCCACATGTAAAAAAAAGCCACAATGTGTGTTGACTCACTGCGAGTGCCTGGTTGTCGGTGGTCTTGGGAGGGGCTGTGTCGACCATGACCCCATCTGACTTGAAGATGTTATACGTCGTCGCATTATACCAGCCTCTCACAAAGAAGGAATACCAAAGCCGGCTGCTGAGGTCCTCGCCTTGGTCACAAGCACGACAGTTAGTCGGAATAGTCCATTATAGTTCATACTCTCTTACAAACATCCCTTCTCTTTCATTGCTTTGTAAATGAATACCACAACACATAGTTTGACACGAAACATTTGTTTTTTAGTTTATAACAGACATTAGCGCTTAGACTGCCGTAGTTTAATGGTCAAGTATCGGATCGTCTTAGCACTAAGATCGCTTTATGGAACTACATAAGTTGCAGACTTCTAAACAAAGATCGCATTATGATAGGTAGGTGAGTCAGTACCGTGTGCCAGAAGGATGACAGCTGATGTTTGCCGCCCGACGCTGAACCAGACTCTGCGGGAGTGACTGTCAAACACACCCGTTGGGTAGTCGCTGTCACTGTCTCCAAGACTGACCTCATACCTGCAGCCAACAACAAACTGGCTGAGATACCTGGCACACTGTGGTCACAACGATGAGTTATTTCAAGCAACCTTTACAAATATTCTAGATATTAAGTAATAAGAGAAACTGTACTGTGTGAAAGGCAGCCCTTGTTGTTTCAGCACCGTCCAACGGGCAGCCATGAAGGTGTCTGATGGTGAGTGGTCAATGTCCCCGGATGTTGTGAAGCGGAGGTCAGTGACATCGGTCACAGCCAGAACATTTTTTGACCCACCTAGGATATAAACAGTGACATATACCGCCATGCACTAACGATTACTGGTTCTAGTCATAATTAATGATCAATATTTGTTGTGAACTGACATTCTGTGATTGTTATTGCAACCGAGTTAGATCCTCCCTGTGGAGGCAGCACTTGTGACGTACCATCCAGCAGCTGTGTACATCCGCGTGTGTGGTGGCACGTCCTGTCCTGCACGGCACAGACACAGTGACCCTCACAGTTGTAAGACTGACACCGTCTGACCAGCTCGAGCATCCCCCCAGCTCCTAGTTCCAGTTC